TAAACCACCCTCATGTTCTAGTCACTGCTTCTGAAACTGATCCACTGTACAGTCCCATGTGGTCCACAGCTTCCATGCCGGTGGAGAAGTGTGTCTCTCAGGTTTACAGGCGTTTTTCTGACTAAGTGATCTAAAACTCCCAAGCTGTCACTGCCCTTAGTTGCCTATATGGGTGTGTCAGACGTTCCCTGGTTGGCTGCTGCTTTGATGTAAATTCAGCTTGGAGGCAGGAAGAAAACTCCCAGGAAGATGGAACCGACCTGGAAAGGGGCCTGGAGAGATTAAAGCGGAGAGGGGGGAAGGGCATGTAACCGGATGAGAGGTGGAGTCAGTCTAATCAACCTGAAGGCCTGCCACCGGAAATGGAAAATCGAGTCCAAATACAGACCAGGGGAGCGTACTGCAGCAGCTGCCCCCAGGGAAAAACAAAAAAAACAACCCCAACCCTCAATGATGTGGCCCCCAACTGAAACACTTCACTACCCTGGCGTTCCAGCCCCACTGGGGGAGGAGGAGGGACAGGGAGGATTGAGGTTTGGAGCTTTCCATAGGCCAGATTTACCCTTCTGGGGTTCCAGAGTTAGTGGATTTTGTGGACCTTGCTAGTCTCTGGGGTTGGGACAGAAATAGGGGGTTCAGTGTGTGGGACAGGGCTGCGAGGTCTGGGCATGAGAGGGTAGGGGGTGCTTACTTGTCTTCATGCCCCATGCCAATCCCAGGCACCACCTCCCACTGCTTCCATTGGCCAGATTCCAGCTAATGGGAGCAGCAGGAAAAGCCTCTGTTCTCCAGCCTGGGAAGGGGAGCACTTCTTCCCCACAAGCCAGATCACACTGTGAGGCTCGCAGTTTTCTCCCCTCCCCCCTGCATTGGGAAGCTGGTGCTCCATCCGGGGAGGGCAGGCAGACGAGGCTGGAGTGCCAGTGCGGGCTCCCCACTATGGGAGGAAGGAGGGAGGCTGAGCTCCAGCCACAGACCACCAGGAAGGTGGCCACGGAGCCCCCTCGCGCTGATGAGGACCATGGGGAGGGTGCGTTTGCACCCCTCCTGCATTTGAGCCTGTTATCCCCTGACTGGGTGCTCTAGCTCAGTGTTTCTCAACCAGTGGTGTGAGTACCCTTAGGGGTATGCGAGAGACGTCTGAGGGGTATGTCAACACAACTTGAAATTTGGAGAAAACTGAATTTTTGTTTTAAGTTTTACAGCACTTTATTATTTTTGTACTTTTTACACCCAAACATTTCATCACCCAGCTACTATTAAGTTGTTTAAACAAATGTGTTGCAGAAAACTGTGTGTCTGAAAACTGTATGTCCTGGGGGTACTTATACTTTGAGGGAGGGGGGGATACTTTATTAAAAAAAAGGTTGAGAAACACTGTTCTAGCTGCTGTAAGGAAGGGGACTGAAGTTACCAGGTGGCTGGTGATTACACTGGGAGAGGCTATGAGTGCTGCATTGTTGCATTTCTGGGGCCCTCCTGCAGCTCTCTTGTAAGGACAGAAGCTTAAGCTCACAGGGCACCAATTGTTCTGCTTCCCAGTGTCATGTTGTAGAATCGTAGGTTAGAAAGGGCCACCAGGGTCGTCTAGTCCAACCGCCTGCCAAAATGCAGGATCCCTTGTGTCTGAGTGATCCTTTGAAAACATCCAGTGAAAGAGTTTCCACAACCTCCCTGGCAGTCTGTTCCCTTCTCCTACTGTTCTCACAGGTAGGAAGTTTTTCTTACGGTTTAGCCTAACTCATTGCCTCTTGTCCTGCCCCGTGGCAAGAAAGAACAGCCTTTCCTCTTCTCTCTCTCTCTCTCTCTCTCTCTCTCTTTTTTTATGGCAGCCTTTCAAGCATCCTGTCCCCCTCAATCTCTTTTCCAAACTAAATGTACCCAGTTTCTTCAGCCTTTGCACATATAGCTTGTTCCGACCCTTTGATCATCTTTGTTGCCCACCTCTGAATCCTTTCCAGTTTCTCCTATGCCCTTTCTATACATTGGAGCACTCTCTCCAGGTTGGGTCACCAGCTAAGACCCAACCAGAAGTACTAGCACCTCCTGTGACTAGCATCCTCTGCTGATGGTAATGAAATCCAGAACTGTATTTGGTTTTTTGCAGCAGCATCGCACTGCTGACTCATACTGCGATTGTGGTCCACTACAACTCCCAGATGTTTCTCAGCCGAGCTGCTGCCAAACCAAGCAGCCCCCATTTTGTATTTGCGCATTTGGTTTGGCTTCGCTAAGTGCTGCACCTTCCTTTTGTCTTTGTTGAATTTAATTTTGTTGTCTGTAGCCCAGTTCTCCAACTTATTGGGATCCCTCTACATTTTACTTTTCTCTTCCAAAGTATTTGTAACTCCCTCCCCCTTCTCAGCTTTGTGTCATCTGCAAATTTGATCAGTATATTCTCTCTGTGTACATCCAGGTCATTAATAAAGATGTTAAACGATGCCAGAGCCAGCGCAGATACCTGTGGGATTCCATTTGAGCCCTCTCTCCATTCTGACATCATTCCATTAATAGCTACTCTTTGTTTGCTCTTGTTTAGCCAGTTATGTAGCCACTTAATGGTAGATCTGCCAAGCCAGAATTACTCCAGCGTACTTATCAGAATGTCATGTGAGATTATCAAAAGCCTTTCTGGAGCCCAGGTATATTACGTCCACTGCATTCCCTCTATCCACAAACCAGTCACCCTGTCAAAGAAGGAAATCAAGCTGGTTAGATGTGATTGATTTCGTGATATATCTATGCTTGCAGCTAGTGATTACCCTTTCATCCTCCATGTATTCGCAAATTGAATGTTTTATATAGGGATGTCAGTTATTCACAGTGAACTCCTGTGATTAACTCAAAAAAATTAATTGCAATTTTGATTGCACTGCTAAACAATAGAATAGCAATTGGATGTAATATATATTGGATTTTTTTCTACATTTTCAATTAAAACACAGGTTATCAAACGTGCAGTGCTTACTTTATAGTATTTTTATTGCAAATATTTGAACTGTACAAATGATACAAAAATAGTACTTTTCAGTTTACCTCATACCAGCGCTGTTCCGCAGTCTCTTTATTGTGAAAGTGCAGTGTACAAGCATAGATTGCCACATATCTGCACTCAAACAAAACAACATAAAACTTCCGAACCCTCAAGTCCACTCAGTCTTAGGTCTTTTTCAGTCAATTGCTAAGAGAAACAAGTTTGTTTACATTTGCATGAAATAATGCTGCCTGCTTCTTATTTACAATGCCACCTGAAAGTGAGAACAGGTGTATGCATGCACTTTTGTAGCTAGCATTGCGAGGTTTTTATGTGCGAGATACATTGAGCATTTGTACGTTTCTTGGTGCTTTGTCCACTTTTCCAGAGGATGTGCTTCCATGTTGATGATGCTCATTAAACAAATGTGTTAATTACATTTGTGACTCAACTCCTTGGAGAAGAATTGTACATCTCTTGCTCTGTGTTTTACCCACATTCTGCCATAGATTTCATGTTATAGCAGTCTTGGGTTATGACCCAGCACACATTGTTCATTTTAAGAACACTTTTACTGCAACTTTGACAAAACACAGAGAAGGTATCAATGTGAGATTTCTAAAGATAGCTACAGCACTCAACCCAAAGTTTAAGAATCTGAAAGTGCCTTACAGAATCTGGGCGACAAGGTCTGGAACATGTTCTCAGAAGCCTTAAAAGAGCAACACTCTGAGGCAACACTACAGAACCTGAGCCACCAAAACAGAAAATCGACCTTCTGTGAGTGGCATGTGACTCAGATGATGAAAATGAACATGTGTCAATCCACAGTGCTTTGGATCATAACCGAGCAGAGCCCATTAGCAGCATGGGCACTTGTCTTCTGGAATGGTGGTCGAAGCATGAAGGGAAATACGAATCTTTTGTGCATTTGACATGTAAATACTTTGTGATTCTGGCTACAGTAGGGCCATGTGAACAAACAGCTGTTTTACTTTCTGGTGACATTGTAAACAAGAATCAGGCAGCATTGTTTCCTGCAAATGTAAACAAACTAGCTTGCCTGAGTGGACAAGAAATAGACCTTGAGTGGATTTGTAAAACTTCAGCGCTTACATTGTTTTATTTTTGAATGCAGGGCTTTTTTTGGACATAATTTTATGTTTGGAAGGTCAATGTTCATGATAAAGAGCTTGCACGTCATTTCTTGCATTAGGTTCTATTTCTTTTGTGTTCTACAGTACAAATATTTGGAATCAAAATCCTCAAAAAGTGAGCACAGTGCACTTTGTATTCTGTGTTGTAATTAACATCAATACATTTGAAAATATAGAAAATATATAAATAAGTAGTATTTTGTTGTTGTTTAACAGAGCAATTAACCATGGTTCACTTTTTTAATTGCTTGACAGCCCTAATTTTGAACATTGCTCTAGTAACTTCCCTGGTATCAAAGTCAGGCTGATTGGTCTATAGTTCCCTTATGCCTCTTTTTCCCCCCTTTTTAAAGATGGACACAACATTAGTCCTTTTGCAGTCTTCTGGGATCTCCCCTCTCATCCACCAGTTTGCAAACATCCTTGCCAGTGGCTCCGTGACTTCTTCCGCTCCTTCCTTTGGTACTCTGGGGTGAATCGCATCAGGCCCCTCGGATTGAATTCGTTCACGTTGGTCAGATCTTTGCTCACTTATTTCAGTCTGCGTCCCTTCCCCTTAATTATTTATGGTACTTTTGCTAGTTGTCCAGTCACATGCTACTTTTTGAGAGAGGGCTGAAGCAAGGTACGTGTCCTCTTCTGCAAGCTTTTGTACCTCCCTGGGCTTCCCGCTGATGATCGCTAGCCACCTGGTAACTTCATTAGCCAGCTCCCCTTGAGATCACAAAGCAAGAGGCTGCTGTTCAGAAGAGACTGGCAGCTGTGGGAGGTGGCTCTGGGAGATCCCCAGCAGCTGCTTCCTCTGTTACCCAGGTTGCTGACTGGTTGATCAGGTGGGTTTCTAACTGTGCCTTCTCTCCCTCCTCCAGGTAAGACGATGAGGCAGTAGAGATGCTTCCGTTCCTGTTTGCCACCCTGGGCTCGGCAGGGGCCACCTGCAAGGCCTCCACCTGTAGCAACGGCACCAAGGATTACTGCTACAGTGCCCGCATCCGCAGCACTGTGCTGCAGGGCTTGCCCTTTGGGGGAGTGCCCACTGTCTTGGCCCTCGACTTCATGTGCTTTCTGGTACGTCTCCTGCACCATTCTGAGCTGCTGTTTTCTGCGGGGGGCACAGTTGTATGGACATAACCAGTCAGGACTGTCCCCAGATGTGGGAGGGGAATACATCTGGATTGGAGCTGGGATGCCTGGGAGTCAGGACTACTGGCCCTGGTTGTCAGCTCAGGATGGAGGGTGACGGGATGGCATGGGAGCTAGGATTCCCTAATTCTTTCCTTTTCTCAGCTTTGCTACTGGCTCCTCTGTGACCTTGGGCAGCTCACTTGACCCCTCCATGCCTCGGTTTCCCCTCAGTGAGCACGGGATAATGCTACTGACCTCCCAGAGGTGGTGCGGTTCGGAAGCTCAAGGGATTAGCATCCACAGAGCATATGGCAGCACTCATGTTTGGCAGCCCGGTATTGCTCTTCCTGCCTCGTTTTAGCCACCCGGGGGCTGCTCTGTCCCTGGCAGTGGTAGGCTGGCCAGCTGGAGCACACTGGCTCTCAGGCATCAGAGCACCTGGGTTTTCAATAGCTTCAAGAAAAAAATGCCATGAATCCCTGCTGAAAGGGCGGTGCGCCGCATGGGCAGGGCGAGCTTTCCTGGCAGCCCCACCAGAAGGAACAGCGCCAGGAAGTCACTTACCATGGCCCTCAGTCCTTTGGCTTCTCTGGCAGGGCTGCCAATGAAGGGGCCAGTTAGGGCTGGCTGGGATGGTTGTGAGGAGCAGACTCGGACTCAGGCCTCTCCAGCCCGGCTTCATGCCACGTCCCTCCTGCCCTCACTCACGTCTCACTAAGGAGCGGCGTGAAGTGGACAGGCAAGAAGACAGGGATGGGGAAGGGTTGGGGCTGGAAGGTGGAGGTTTAGGGTAGGGATGCTAAGAGGTGAGTAGTTTCTAATCGTGTAGTCGATTAGAATGTTTATCAACTACACGATTAGTCGATAAGGGAAGTTAAAGCGCCCAGTCGTGGCTTGCGCTGGGTCCAGGACGTACCCCCGCTGCAGCTCTGCAGTTTAAATGTAGTAAGAGCCAGGTGGACAGGCAGCCCAACTCCTACTACATGTAGAGCTGCAGCGGGGGGATGGCCTGGACCCAGCGCGAGCCAGGACTGAGCCCGGGGCGCGGCC